TCAACTCCCAGAATTCCCCAGCCAGCATGGCTGGCTGGGGAATTCTGAGAATTGAAGTCCACTCATCTTAAAGTGGCCAGGTTTGGACAACACTACCTTAGGCAGTTGATAAATTCTGCGTTCCTTCCAAGGGTTCATATTTTTTATGGGAGAAAGAAAAATGTTCTATGACATGAGAACCAACAGGTCTGGGCTCTGAAGTGTTGGATTCAGCTCTACAAATATTGGGTGCAAGGCTTCAGGGAGGGGTGGGGGAAGAAGAGACTAATAAATCAACATGTCCAGCTGGAGGACATTGGGTTGGAGAAAGCTTGCCTACAAGCTTTCACCTTCAAAATAACAACACAAAAAGAGCAGTTTGTTTCCGATTAGCAATTACAGAAGAATTATTTTTATCACAGAGCGAGAGAGAAGATGCTAAATATACAACATTTTATACTGGGAGGGGGTGGTTTGCACAATGGCCTTCTGGCATTAGAAATCTTAATTTCTTCATAGGAGCCAGCCATGACTGGCAATTAATATTAGTCATTCGTTTTATTGACAGCTAAACTATGAGTAGATAGCACCCACTCCTCAAAATTGAAGGTTGGGGGAAAAAATCCCTACATTCAGATATTTCCTGAAAAACATTTAAAATTTGACATTCAACCCAGATTTGTAAATCATGAACTGAATGTTTCTGGGGACAGACGAAAAAGAGGAGCAAATTGTCAAATTCTTATATAATGGAAAACTACCAATTTGCATCAGTCAACATTTGATCCGGAAACATTAGCTAGTTAAAATACTTTACTTTGCACAATAAAAAACAGTGAATACAATTGAAGCATATACACAGCAAAAGAAATACACTGTCTACACACTACTCAATTATTAAGAGCATCACAACCCCATAATTGATATCCATAAATATAGAGTTTAAAATAACATCCTCTTCTTTTAGAACCCACCCACCAGCTATCTAAAATCTATTAGCTACAGACCTCTGGAATCAATGATGGCATCATGAATAATACAGTGCATGAAAATAAACATTGTTGTCCAGGTTTGATATTTGCAAAATCCCTCACTAGAAAGTGATTTGGACATATTATTTTGTTAATTCTAAGCATGTAAGTAATTTTTTTTATGAAGGGCGCTATGCAACTGTATTTTATAGAGGAAGTGCTATTTTAACGTATCCATACTAATAATTCCTCCCAAAAAGTTCTGATCATTTAAGATTATAGTATTTGGAGCTCGCTGGAGACTGGAATCTTTGCTGGTTTTCACAGCAACAGCCAATTTAAGAACAAGTACAACTGAGAAAACAAAATAACATGTTAGGAAGTAGGAAAAATCTTATTTAGATTATATCGCTCAGAGTCACCCCAGTAAGAAGGGCAGTGACAAATTTGAAATACATATATATATAAACTTTTAAAAGTTTAATGCCTGGAGCCTAAAAGAAGTTTTGGAAGTTTTTCAAAGTCCACTAAGATCATTTGAAGGATCTTATATCCTTGACTTGCCATTCCAGCTTGGATCATAGGAAAAAAAAAACTAATAAATACTATTTACAATAGAAAGATACAGGAGAATATAAGAATAGGAGAATATAAGCAACCAGAGGCTTTATCCATATGAGAACCTGGTATACGTTCTCTACTTACTGGGAATTCTGTTCTGTCACAACACAGCTAGAAGTCATCAGACTGGGAAAAGTTAAGCTAATGTACTGAAAGACGGCCTTAAGCCATAGATGTCACTATGGGAGAAAAGGAACTCTGAAACTTCTGAGTCTACCAAAACCAAAATGTTTTGCCAGAACTGTTCTTGCCCACTAGGACATAGAACATGTCTACAGTCCAGTTCTTCTAGAGAAGGTGGAAAAAAAAGTTCCTTGGTTATGCTTCTGCTTCACCATGATCATAGAAGCTCCAGAGGAGCTTTTCACTGAAGGCAACACCCTACCACTGGTGGCATTAAAAATAGCATCAACATAGTTCATCCCAATATGAATACTATGGCAGAACTCAGGCATGACAGTTACTTTTTTTTAAACAGTGGGACAAGAAAGGTCTGCCTTTATCATATCTCTCCACCAACACCATCTTCCTGGGTTTAGGAATGAAGAGGCAAACTAACAGGTGAGAATTAGAAATTTTGGAGAATAGCCAACCAAAGCCACTTTCTCACACGTCATTACAAAAATCAGACAAGTGCTCCATTCTTGCAATTGAAATTTACTGACAGTGGCAAGTCCTTCAGATCTTTTGGTTGGAAAGAAGATGGAAGATATAAGGGGGGAAAATGTTCCTTTCTCCTTTCTAAGATGTAGCGTTGACTCTTCTGTCAATTTCAACAATCTTTAGTGTTTCATTTGCATCCAGCTCTGAACTGACTCTATAAACAGAGATGAGGAAGAATTCAGGTTACTATAAAATGGCAGTACGTATAAAACCAAGCAAACCAAAAAATGACTACTTTGTTTTTTTTTAATTGTTACTGTGAACAATTTAGCTTCACTTCACAGTGGCAAGATCTCAAGCAATATAAACCCCAACTTTCCCATCTAAGAACATTTAACTTTGAAATGCTAAGGTTTGAATTTGAGACCTCTCACCTGCAAAGT